TATTTTGGCTATTCTACGACTATTGGTATTAGTTTTTATTAATTTTTTTTTTGTAACTTAATGGTATATTTTTGCTCATTTTGCAACTGTTTTGTACGATTTACAGTATGGTTGAAAACTTTTTTTTTTGGAAACGGCCGAAAATTCATGCGCGCGCGGATGTCATCCATGTAATCAAATCAACATGGCCTAATTGTAATTTATTTTTCTCTTATCATGTATCAAAGCATCAATATTGACCTACACTTCTCCTGTTACAATTGTAGCATTTTCTTAATGTTGCAAAGATTAAAAACATAGAGTCATTTTTCAAAACCATTCAAGGGATGCAGAGAAAACGATTATAAAGATGATAAAGAATTCACTATACTATCCGTAACATTATATCATAGCGCTGGGCGAACTCAACAGGAATATCTTATGAATATTCACCAACATCTTGGGTACACCACCCCCCTCCGTGGTAGTAGATCAGTCCCGGTAGCCTTCCGCCATTTTGTTTGTCCTTGGGTTCATATAAGCGGACTTTGACTCCACTAAAGGCTGTGTCTGTTATAATGACGGCTGGGTCTTTTGGTTGTTTGGGCAACAGGATTCGATCAAATGCTCTCTGAAGCCTCAGAGTGGTTGTCAATCCAAAAAACTCAACAACACTTGCCTAAAAATAAATGACAAATTGTGCCTTTATTTAAAATCCAGAGGCTTGCTTACAATCAAACGAAATACTGATATGCGACGTGTGTAACAGGTAGAAAATACAAAACATCAGTAAAAGACGACAAAATTTTTATATTAGAAAAATGCTGTCAAATTTGTAAATGCCCTCCAAAATCCCCTCGGTTTGCATTCCTGTAGACGACTACCGTACAGTACAACCAAGGACGTTTTATAGTTCTGGGATGCTGATTGAACGTCCTTGGTACAACTAATCGGCAGTGCTACTTACGATGTCGATGAAAACTTTTCCTCTCAACAAATCATGTTGAATCTCTGCCGGTTCTTGAATACCATCCTGTCGAGTAAAGGAATATCGCCAAGTGAACAAAGACTTCAACATCCACAGGACTGCAGCCGCCGTAAACAGGCCGACAAGGAGAACAGACATTTTTAGTCCTACACTGGAGCTTATTAGATCCCTCTAGAATAGACTTTGACCCGTAAAATATTGACTTAGGGAAGGAGAGGGCCAAAGAATATACTATGTCTGGGTGTGGGTGGGGTAAATTATTTTCACATGGAATCTTTACAGTTACAAATACGGTTATGCCCAAATGGTTGATCTTCACGCCAATAAGTTCTAACTAGAACAAAAATGTCAAAACAAGCAGGGTCTGTAAAATTGTTTTCTTGTCCTCGCAACAAATGAGATTGATTAACTAATTAAAAATAATAAACCTTAATGGTTACCTTCTAGGTATATGCACTTTTATTAAATTTCTGATTTGATACCGCAGCAAATTTGATAGAAAAACAAAGTCGTGTGGGCGTATTGAATAAACAACGTTCTTGGCTACAGATTGGCAGTACGTATCTATCTGCAAAGTGACAGAGTAAACGATGTATTAGTTTACGCAGTGCATAGGTCCATAGCCGGGTAGATGGCTCATATCAAGGACGAGACTTCCTTGCTCATATACAGCACAGAAAACACCTCGAATCTATGAATTCACAATGGTTTTAATATAGTGCGTTAAAATATGTAATTCCATTTTCACAATGTTCTAATGTTCATCAATATTTCTAAGAGTCAAGGATACCAAAAGATTCACACATTCGAAAAGCGATATATACAAGAAGTTTATAATATCCCTTTTTCCTTATTTTCTGTTTCGTGAACCCTGAGTCTTTATGTTTTTTTCTTCTACTTGCATGTAAGGATTAGCTTACAGACTAATTCCAGCTCAGACCTTTACTACATATTACATGCATTTACACAGCACGTAGCATGTGCATATTTATCGTTTATTTCAACTGCGATATCAAAAGATGTTTAAAGGCGAGACACAGACTACTCAGAATGCTTTCAACGTTTGCTAATATTGACAAGAACTAAGATTGACTTCATCTTGTAGTTTTTCACGAATTCTGAAGAAAGTTTTCGAAATACAGTTTCCAGTAGCTGTTTAACATACTATAATAGTGTGTATGAATATATTAGTTCTCTTATACATCTGCATTTATATTATGTGAATCACGTTATACATGATAAATTGTTAATAAACATTATTTTCGTACGCACACACCCTTTTAAAAAACATTGTCTTATTGTGTAACCCCACTTTGTTTCATGCCGCCTCCTACGTAATTCAATATTTTCTAAGAAAGATCGTTGCCCGTTCTTTCACACGCTCTAGCGTCTAGCTGACTTCATCATCAATATTCTAGAGCTATATATCTGAATACACTTTTGCGCTGGTTTTACGTGGTATGGTGATGTCTTTTCGGAAGGCGCCATTTGCTGTAAATATTTTAATGTAAATCTCATCGAATGAATAGCAACATGAGCAGAGGTTATATATAATTACGACCTTTAATTTCGTTGTTTTTCGAATTCTGAAACTGGTCACTACACATTTTTGAAACCACTTGTTTAATATTATTGTAGTGTGCATAGGTATAGTTTAACTGTAGTTCCCTTATACGCATACACTGCCGTTTAAAAAAAAAACATTGTCTCTTTACGTAACCCCACTTCGTTTCATACCGCCTTCTACATAATTCAATATTTCTGCGAAAGATCGCTGTCCGTACGTTCTTTCACACGCTATAACGTCTTTAAAGCTACCTTTCTTATCAATATTCTACAGCTACAGATTTAAATACATTTTCTCTCTGCTTTTACGTGGTATACTGACGTCTATTCTGAATGTGAAATCGGCTGTAGATTTTCATGTAAAATCTCATTGACTCCCGCTACTACATCGAGACATAACATAAGTGTTGAGGGCCTAACTAGAAGCAAGATGGTGAGACGATACGTCGGAATCCTCCTTACTTTTATTCTTCTAACCACGATTCCGTCTTCCGATTTCGAAGAGCTCCAACCTACAGCGTTTAATGGTATGTGTAATTTGTGGGATTTGACTTAGGTATTTTAAGTACAGTTCTGGCTTAAATGCTTTCATGCAATGGCTACGCGTTATGTTTCACCTAGCTGACACTCTATATACTATTAATTCATAAAGGGAAATCTATTATCATCATTTGCACCAAGGCTGCTGGGAAAAAAACTGATACTAAATTTTCATTCAGCACTGCTATGACACATTCGGGTATTTAATATGTTTTATTTTAAAACCATCATTGGCGAAGGTATGAGATCGTGAAACTCAAGTTAGCTGAGTGTGTTTTTAAGCCACAGCACTGGGTACGTTTTGGTTATGGGATAGCACAGCAAGGTGACTACTTTAAACACATAAAATACCTTGTCAAATCCTCATCTATTTTGACAGGTGTTTTGCATGTTTTCCTCTACAGAACGTGACTATGTGTCTGATAATGAAGAAAACTCCAACGCTTGGAACAATGCCGACTCGGAGAAAACGAACCCACAAGCCTATTCCAACTCCACATCTCCAAAGACCAACACGAATGACCCTATTGAAGACAGGACGGTATGGAGTATCATGTGTTATCATCTTTAACTGCCCACATGTCTTTCAAAAGAGATAAAGCACACTGGGAGGGGGCAATTGGAGACTCAAGAATTATTTATTGATCAATGACAGTAGACTTAATACAAGTTACTGAGTTGCGAATCAATGTCCATTTTAAATACTGAAATGTACATTGACTCGCAATTCAGTAACTAGTATTAAGTCTATACTACCATTCATCAATAAATAATTCTTGAGTCTTGAAAAAAAATTGGAGGTTATGTTTATTTGAGCCCTTGTTTATTTGAGCCTTTATTTTGTTTACTAGTATTCATGAAATAGTCAAATCGGCCTGCTGGCCGTTTTTCATTGAGGTCATGGAGGGAAGCATTCGACAAGAATTATACACCAGAATTTGCTTTGCTTTGACACAGTTTAAAGAGTCTTAAATGTTACTAACTGCATTACATGCTTATTGGTTCATTTTCATAGTTTAAGTTTGTTCCATACATATAGTTCTTTACTGAAATAAAGCCAGGGGAAATGCTCCTATCTTGTTGACGTTTCAAGCAAACTGCATATAATTTTTGGACCGGTAATCAACATTAAAAAAATCTTTTTGCAATACTTTCAGCTATGTGCAACGGTGCAATACTTATTGGCCTTCTAATCTTTATAACTTTCTTAGGTGAAGGGAGATACTTGGCTACAACAAGGGTTGTCGACAAGATGGGCAGGAAGGCAAGTATCCCCCGGCCCGTGACTGGACCACAAACTGACAAGATTAACATCAACCAACCAAATTTTGTATCAAACAAGAGCATTCCAATCAGCAAGATAGGGTTCGGCATTGAAAACAACAATGCAGTAGTCCCCCACCCCCGGTCTAAACCTAATAGCCACAATATAATCCGTAAGAGAGAAATCACTGGGCCTTTTCCTGTGGTTGTAAGTAGTATGGTGCATACTAGTTCTACAATCACTACACCCCTCAAAAGGGAGTCAACAAGAGTCAAAAGGTCTCCCCCATGGGCTAGGGCTAGCAGGGGGAGGGGTAACAGAGGGAGAGGTAAAGGGGGAAGGGGCCCTCCCTCCTGGCATTGGCACTGGAAAGATAGAAAGAAACATAAAAAATGGTCTCGTGGCAGTAGCGAAAATAGCAGGCAGTCTGGTGAAGGGTCCAATGGAAGCAATGGAAGTAGCAAGGAATTTGGGCGTGGGTCTCATACTAGCAAGGAATCTGGAAAACGGTATCACACCAGCAGTGAAAACAACAGTGGTTCTGGAAAAATGTCTAACAACCGACGCATTTTGGAAATGGTGATAAACAAACTGCGCACGACAAAACCGTGCAAGTTGAGGAACCAATCTCAGAAAAATACTGTCCTCAAACTGTGTCACTTAGTCTGTGTATTGTTCAAAAACAAGGATATAGATCCGTGCAGCTGTGTTAACGGAAAGCACCAGAACAATTGCGATAACATTATCCAAGTAACAGACACAACGAGAACAATGGAAGAAACACCCATAGTAACAAACGCACCCGCAACATCACCGGCCTCACGCACAGACACACCCACAACAACCTCACCCACAGACACACCCACAATACCGGCCTCACCCACAGACACACCAACAACACCAGCCTCACCCACAGACACATCCACAACACTATCCTCACCCCCATACACACCCACAACACCGGCCTCACCCACATACACACCCACAACACCGGCCTCACCCACAGACACACCCACAACAACACCGGCCTCACCCACAGACACACCCACAACAACACTATCCTCACCCACAGACGCACCCAGCTCAATGGCAGATGAACCCAAAACAATGGAAACACCCATGAAGACACACCTACCCACAACAATCGCAACCTCCGCAGCTACAGACGCGAACAGAACAATGACGACACCAACATTGACAGACGCACCCAAAGCAATGGCGAAACCAACAGTAACGTTAACACTTAAAACTATGGCAGCACCCTTAAGCACTGACCCACAACGAACGACGGGAGTATCTATGACAAAACCCATATTAACAGAAAAGGAAACACCCATACCAACAGACTCAACAAAAACATTTGAAACACCCATAGTAACAGACATGTCCACAACAATGGAAGCACCCAAAGTAACTTACGCACACAAAACAATGACACCCACAATGACAGACACACCGAGAGCAATTGGACTACCCAAAGTAACAGGTAACCTCACAACAAATGCAGTACCCATAGCAACAGACACTCCCATAGTAGAGATATCAACCACAGTGAAAAGACGTGCCCCAGAACAATCGGAACACCCATAGTAACTGACATTGGAACACCCATAGTAACAGACATTGGAACACCCATAGTAACTGACATTGGAACACCCATAGTAACTGACATTGGGACACCCATAGTAACTGACATACCCATAGCAACCGCGGCACCAAGACCCACAGCTACACCAAGTACAACTGGGCCATCAATGGTAACAGGCACGTCATCAATGACATCACCCTCACTGAAAGACACATCCACAGCATCTGCAACATACACATCCATGGACAAGACAATGGTAACTACCTTACTGGCAGACGCATCTACTGCAAATGCATCCACAAACAAAACGATGGCAACACCCACACTAGCAAACGCACCCAAAGCATCTGCAGCACATACACCCAAAAACAAAACGATGACAACAATCTTACCTAAAGCATTTGCAGGACATACAGCCACGGACAAAATGATGGTAACAACCTTTCTGACAAACGCATCCACAGCATCTGCAGCTAATACTTCGACGGACAAAACAATGCCAACAACCTCACTGACAGACACACCCACAGCATCTGTAGTAAATACACCCAAGGACAAAACGATGGTAACAACCATTCTAAAAACGCATCCCCAGCATCTGTAGCACATACTTCGACGGACAAAACTATGGCAACAACCTTACTGACAGATACACTCACAGAATCTGTAGCACATACACCCAGTGACACAACTATTGCAACGACCGCTCTGACAGACGCACCACGAACGATGGGGTCACCTACAGTAGCACACACTTCCACAACTGTGACCATGGCAACAGACGCAATCAGAACAATAGGGACACCCACAGCAACAGACGTGCCCATAGCAACAGAGCTAGAGGCACCCATAACAACGGCCACGCCCATACCTACTGATATATCTGTAGCAATGACAACACCAACAGTGAAAGAAATAAGCTTGGAAACAGTTTTGCTCACAGAAGCTACGGCAACTCCAATGATGACGGCGACAACGAACAGCCCCAATGACACTAACGACATTTACAGTACAAATACCAGCATGCACACTTACAGTCACAGTTCCATTTTATACAACTATGTAACCCCTAACAACACTAGACCTGCCACTGTTGAGGAAACAAAGATTGTAGACAGCATCAGTACCAAGAAGACCACACAGGGAAACATTTCACACGTTGCTGATTCTGACACCACCAACTTTACACTGCAGACAATTATTTTAAAAAGTGAACCCACAAAAACAAACACATACGATTTTTCCAAGGACTCAACAACAATGGTGGCTGAGATAGAAGGTCACCCAAACCATCCGAAATACATTAAGCTTGCCAAAAAGACGGCAAAGGGAAGCGATGTTACACAAATCTTTATAGTTGTGGGAATATGCAGCTTTCTGGCGATGGTAGGATTGTGTGTTATGATTAGAAATTGTTCACGAATGGGTTGGTACGATCTATTAGGCAGTAGTAAGGCTTAGGTCGTTGTCATGGCCAGACTGGCAGAAGATCGCTAGCAGCTGGGCCAAACATATGCTGCCCCGACGGCTGACTAAGATATGGGAGAGAGTGAGAGGGTGAAGAATTATTTAAAAAATTAAAAAAAAAATCATTTTTTGTTTGGTGGGTCGTTTCGGTAGAAAAAATGACTTGACTCTTAAAAGTAGATGATGAACAGGTCTTTTTAGTTTCTATATTGTTGGATGTAAACAAAAATAAGTATCCAAAAGATCCCAAGAAAAAACTGTAGAGCGTCTGATAACAGAAAAATAATAGATCAATATGACAAAAGCAAATGGATTAAATGATAATATTAGGATCCACATCTTATCAGACAAACCATTGTATGTAATGCGAATGATTATCACAGGCATCATACATAAGAATTTTAAAAAAGGGTGTCTTGAATATAATATTGTTGTGTTACATAATTTGGATTAGTTGTAAAGTTTCAACCAGATTACTTACACGTAAAAGTAAATTAACTACAATTTTTTAGAAGTTAGTTCGTGGCAGCATTCAAGTAGCTTTTGTCCAATCGTGAGCTCCAGTATAAAAATTTCTCTGTTCGATAGATGTGCGTTAGGGATCCATGAAGTCTACTTTTTAACGCAAAAAAGACCATATAGTCTTATACCGACAACGTCGTGATGATAACATTTGCCAACTGTTTTTCTCTTGCAAAAATATTTTTGAAAAAGCACATATTTTACATCAACGACATGGAGGCAAAAGATTGTAATAGACAACAAATTAAAGTAAATGTGATATGTTAGCCTGGCTTTTGTTTTGTAAAGCATTTGCAATATCAATATATGTTTGTTTCTTACGTTACGAACTTCTCAACCTAAGTTTTCTACATGTTTGTAAGGATTAGCTTACAGACTCATTTAAACTACTTCTACATGTTAAATGCATTTACGCCTACACGTATACATTATTTCATTTAAATCTAACGATGTTTGGAAGACTTTCTTGTACAAAGGGTACTCAGAATGTTTCAACTTTTGCTAAAGATGACATGAATTTAAACATATCATTTAACATCAAAATATTAATTCTATTGATCTTGTTGTTTTCTACGAAACCTGCAAAAGGTCGAAGTATCTTCTACATACTCAATAAAACGAATACTGTATCCTTTAACTGTGGCCATTTCATGGCATACGCCACATAATTTTATCTAAAATGATAAATGGAAAGAGGTTAATATATACTGTGTAATTGTCAAAAACAAGTATGGAATAAAGTAATGTTATGGCGTAAATATGGCTTCGTTTTTCTTTTGTTTTGCTGTAAAACATCTTTACGTTGGAATAATTTCTTGAATGCTTCTTCGAGCGTGATAAAAGAAAGTAGAAATGGCATACTATTAGGTCTCAGCTAATATCCCTTAGCTATACAACGATAAATGTTAGACATCCAGGTAGAACATAATACAGAATCAACCATATCATTTTTATTTAAAAAGACAATTCGGAAGTCTGACCCTTTCCTCCTGACATTAATGAAAAGTGGCCTGTAGGCTGGCCTGAGCTTGTCATGAATAAAAAAATTATCCATATTTTCCAATATTTTCTATGTGGGGTCATGAGGCGCAAAGTGGGGTCGTGTGGCGCAACAGCAGGGTGCTCGTCTCGGAACCAAGAGGTCCCGGGCTCGACTCCTGACATGCCACCGATCTTGTGCCCTTTGTAAAGGCTCCTCTTACGACTTTCCCCGCTTAACTCAAGTAAAAATGTTGTAAGTTTAATAAATCAAATTCAATCATTCAAATCAATGACTGATCATGAGTCAGAAGATATGTTTATACCTTATCTATATCCAAATGCTACTTTCTGCAGATCTTCAATATCCTCTTCAACCAATGTCCAAACGTGTTGTTTACAATATGTAGTGATTCGTAGACCCTACCTACGTACATCAGTAAGGGCTTCGAAATAGCAGTACCGTCAGGAACTGTAACTTAAACTGTAACGTTTCGACCTTTAGGCAAGGACGAAACTCCCCAAGGTCCTGTTGTTTTTCTTCCATCTTGCGTCGCAGACTCATTCAAACTTTTGTTTAATACAGCATGCATACGCTTGCGTTGTTTAGTTATCATTTGTTGTAATCTAAACATCTAAAAGAAATGTATTTTTCCCGACCTCGCAATTATTGCACTTACTTACGCAGACACTGTCGACTTATCAAAACTTCTGATGCCGCATTCATATGCATACTTGCTCATTCGTTTTATTTCAAACATCAAACGGTATGTTCCAGATTGACTCCATTGATTCTCCGACGCTGCAATCGTTTTCTTGTTGGAAAAGAAATTCCTAGTCTATACTTACTCACGTTGCACATGTTATTTAATACGCTGCATGAATACGTTTTCGTCCATTCTGAATCTTTTGTTGGACTGAAGCAGTCCCTTGTTTCGTCAGAATGTTGTACTGATACAAGTCTGGTAGATCGTATAGAGTCACTAGACATCAAAACAGGATGGCGGGGCGATACAAAAGTATTGCCTTTGCCTTCCTTCTCCTACCATTGCTTTTGTGCGCGAAATCTTCACCTGCTGAACAGCTTCAACCTACTGAGTGTAAAGGTATGTAGTTTGTCTTTTTTTTTTTCTATGGTTATATCTTATTCGGACCCAGCGAGTAATTTCAGTGCGCGCATTGATTTTCGCCTGGTTTTGGAAAAAATGTTGCCCTTTGATAGTGGTCAACATGCGAAAAATGGGCAAAATTGTCTGATGCGATTCCGGAACGTGGGTGGCAGATAAATATGAAGAGAGAAGACAAGACAAAGCTCTGATTTAATGTTTTGTTGTTTTTCTACTTTGACGCAGTGATGTATTTCATTCCTTTCTTATGTGATGCTGTGGCATTACATATACAACATTACACAATTGAGTGGGAACAAGTGATACTTACTACTCCATTCAGATGTAGTAATATGTTTCTTAAACCAATTTAAAGAAATGGCACATGTATACATGTACACCTGTTAGTTAACTGAATTTAACACCGTCTTTATTTCACACAATACGTACATGTATATTTTACACATTTGAAATATCTAACATAAGATGATTAGGGTCGTTGTTGTAAAAAAAAATCCTCGACCGGCCCCTTGTTTAGTTTTTTTTTTTTAACATGGACATTTTGAGTTGGAAGGGTAGGAATAAGCCGAACAGAAGCACATGGAGGATTGTTTGCCGGGGCGCAACGCTCCTAATTTGAGAGCTTGCGGACATGAGTGAGTGAGTGCCTCTTGATGCAAATAATGGACAATGTCTTCTAGCCTATTGCACCGGTTGACGTTGTGCACTTATGAATGGTAACTTACATTGTATATCCTTCCCTCTCACAGGACATGACTGTATCTCGGATAAAGGTCCAACTCAGCTTGAAGAAGTTGGCAACTCTTTCATCAAGGACGGCATCCCAACTGAGTACCGCCCGCCACCGACCAAGGACGGCACGACCTGGACCCACACCAACTATCCCGGCGAACGTCAGAAGTCAAGGGTACCGTGTATCATGTTAAACACTGTTGTTTTGGGGGATGTGTAAAATGAGATATCCGGCCAGACAGTTGTCAGTATAAGACACTGTTTTTCCAGAATTATCCCCAGGGACTACTGTTCTGCATTGCCCACACATATCGAGTAAATCTACTTTCTTGAATATACGTAGATTATACTGTATAGTGCCTGACCCTACCCATTCAGGTATAGAACTAGAAAGGCAAGATTCTAGATACTATAGGGGCTAGCTCAGTGTCTCCTTTCCAAAAAATAATAAATTCCGGATTCTAAATAACATCAAGTCTACAAAAATGTTATTTTCTTGCAAAAAAAAGGGTTCAACCGAATTTTACCTGGTAAAGTGAAGCACATTATGTTTGCATGAAGTACGTATTATATTAGTAAGAATTTTACAGAGAAACTAGAAGCACTTTTATAGGGTTGTTTAAGGACCCGATAGCTTTCGCACAGTCAATTTCGACTGTTAGACAAATATTTTCTGATGGGTAAACAATATTGACATTTATTTGCAAATTTATTTATTGACAGATATTTTGTATATTTTGCTCATTTAGTGCATTTATGTAGGTTTCCTAAGGAAATATATCCTGTGCGAAAGTTTTCTCCGACTGACCAACCATTAGTTAGGATAAAACTACTCAACTCTCATTAACTGCTATGAAATTATGGTTTTCTTCAGTACTGACCAAAAGACATCATGTTTGGTCCCCATCTCGTTTTTACATACATTTGGATATTCAAAAGTATAGCATATTCCAAAAAAGTAAGCAAGAATGATCTAAATGTTATCTCTAAAGTGAGATTTTGTGGAGCTGTTCTTTTGTAAGGCCATGTCTATTTGATTGTAAGGATGACAACATAGCGGGCAGAAATTTTCTTCCATATCAAAAAAAGCATCGACCAACCTGTAATTTTCGAACCTCTTGGATGTCACTTTTAGGAGTTCTCGTCCCGGGGTTTGATACAATATATTTGTATTATGTTATTGAAAAAAAAGAAGATTTTTATTACAGGTGAAGAGAGCGAGTTGGTTTCAAGATAATCGGCAAAAGAACCAGCCCTGGCACGGGTTCCGTCACTTCAGGACGAACAAGCGACATGGCACGGCCCCCGGGAAGGCACGGCTACCGGGACGACACGGCAAGGCATACGGCAGACAACTGTCCTCCCAGTCTTCAGCAAGTCACCGGGGCATCGGAAGGAACAGGAAAATGCCAACCGCTCAATCCCGGTTTCGATCTTTGGGTGGAACGAGAAACGGCAAGACGTCGACCTCCCACTCCTGGTCTGGGCACCGATCTTTTGGTAGAGGGCCGAGCAACAAGACGTCGACTTCCCAATCGTGGCCTGGGTCTGTTGGCTCCAGTACGAACAACAAAACGTCGATTCCCCAATCCTGGTCTCTACCTTCTGGCGGTAGGAAGAACACCAAGACGTCGACTCTTCAATCCCGGCCTCTTTTACCTGGCGGCAAGACAAACGGCAAAACGTCGACTCCCCGATCTTGGTGGTCTCGTTTACGCGGCGGCAGGAAGAACACCAAGACGTCGACTCCCCGACCCCGGCCTCTTTTACCTGGCGGCAAAACAAACGGCAAGACGCCGACTCTCCAATCCCGGTGGTCTCTTTCACATGGTGGCAGGACGAACAGCAAGGCATCGAAATCATGGTTTAGGCGTACTGGCCACAGGAATAACCGCAAGGCATCGACCTCGAAATCCTGGTCGTTTGGCGGCAGAACAAACAGCAACGCTTCAACTTCCCGACCCTGGTATGGCCCTTACTGTGACAGGATGAAAAGCAAACAACCGACGATAAGATCTCTTGTACTTTGTCGTGGCAGGGTGAACAGTAACAAGACGTCGACAATCCAACCGAAGACGAGCGGCCATGTACCAGTCACTCCACCACCATCACCTGGGTCTCAAAACGGCAATAGGAACAGCAAAGCATCAAGTTCCAGACTCTCGCCTAGGGCCCATCGCCGTATCACTCACCGCCATACAAAAACCACCAGACCAACTGCTGTGAACTGTAAAAGTGACACCAAGAAGAGGGGTTGGTTCTTTTCCTCATCATCCCGTCGGTGGCCCTGGTTTCGAAGAAGTCGAAATGACCGTACCCAAGCAGAGTGCTCCGATGGCAGAGCAGAAACTGCCCAGCCACAGCCAAGATCCCCCGCCGGTAGAGCCAAGAACAAGGACAGTCGGTCTACAACGACTAAACTGAAATGTAAGCCAGGGATTCAAGCCAGACTGGAATCCAAATGCCGCCGGCGATGTAGATTCAGCAGTCGTGATAAAGGTGGGAAGTCTCGGTTTCCTTCCTGGGGATTTGGTTTTTTCTCCAAAAACTCCTGCAATTGCGTCAATGGAAAACACCAAAGCGACTGCTCCGCTAACATCGAAAAGCCCACGCAAGCCGTGACTAGTACACAGAACCCCAAGGAAAAGATCAGCTCCAAGGAACATGACCAAGTTAACAAGCAAAATGGGAATAAAGAGAGGGCCTACAGCAACACCAAGAAGACTAAAAACGCCCAAAGTGACAAACGCACCACTAACACTGGTAACGCCCAGAGTAACAAGCACGTCTCCACGAGCAGGGCTAATGGTAAGGGTAAGGGCAGATGGTCTTCAAGAATTTGCAAGCCAAGGATCCAAGCAGCGATAGCAGCCAGGTGTCATTTGTCCTGTAGACGACCTACGTCCGTCTTTACAAGACTGCACAACGTATGCAATTGTGTCAATGGAAAACACCAAAACGAATGCCCCAACAACGTCGAAAAGCCCAAGCAAGAAGTAGCCAATCCCAAAGAAAAGAAGAGTAGCAATGCCCAAGACAACAGTGATGCCAACGGACGCCCCAAAAACAATAAGAATGTCAACACCAACAGACGTACCAACAATTACGGCGACAGACAGGGTAAGGGTAAGGGCAGATGGTCCTCAAAGAGCAGAATTTGCGAGCCAAGGATCCAAGCAGCGATAGCAGCCAGGTGTCATTTGTCCTGTAGACGACCTAAGCCCGCCTCTACAGGACTGTTAAGCTTTTGCAATTGTGTCAATGGAAAACACCAAAACGACTGCCCCACCAACATCGAAAAGCCCAAGCAAGAAGTAGCCAATCCCAAGGAAAAGAAGAGTAGCAGTGAAGCCAACGGACGTCCCCCAAACAATGACAACGGCAACAGAGGTACCAATACCAACACCAACAGACGTACCAGCACCAACGCCAACCAGCGTACTAAAACCAACGGCAAAACCAACGATGACAAAGCCTCCCCCATCAACCTGCAACCTCCAACTGCCAAAACCAGCGAGAAAAAACGAGGGACTAACATCACCAAAAATCAACATGATAAGAACAAAATCACCTCTCAAAAATTAAAGAGCAAACTGACAAAAGAAACCGGAATCAATCAGAACAAGGACATCGGCGCGAAGAATGTCAAGGACAACAAACCCACCAAGAGTAAAGCTACTATCATGATGAACGACAAAGGAATCCCTAACGGTGGAAGGCTCCATCAGAAGGCAAAGATTATCACAGACAGCCTAGTGAGTCCTGCTACAACCGCCAAAAAGATCGAGAAGAACGATGCCATTGACAAACAGGCGACCATATCTTCAATTGCCAAGAAGAACGGGGACAACGGGTACACGACACCCAGGGGGATTGGACAAGCTTCATCGGATGACCCTATGCTCGCAGAGAAACCAAAGAGCATCTCGAACATATCGGCACGACATGACAGCGGCTGCTCTTCCGCAAGGTTGAAGGTATCTGTCGCTGAAATCCAGAAGCACTCTGCAAAAATTTACCACAGGAAACCTAAACACATGGAGGCAAAATGCACCACAACATTCCGCCTTTACAACCAAGACGGCGAGCTGGTCAAGAAAGGTGTTAAGAGTGGAAACACTTCAATCCCCCTGTCAAACCTCAACTCTTCTTCAATCTATACTGCTTGTCTTGAAGCTGGCGCCCGGCCCGTTGAACGACCCAAAATCCCAAAAAGTCCCAAATGCATCAAATTTACGACAAAGGGCCAAAAGAAAGACGGGTTTATGAATATACCACTCATAGTAGGTTCAGCCACATGCGTCTTTTTGGGGCTGGTTGGATTAGCTGCACTGATGAAGTGTGTGTGTTTCCCTAAGGGTAAGGGGGGTCCCAAAACAGGAAACAGCGAGGAAGAAGATGAGGAAGAAAAAGAAGAAGAGTATGGGAGGATCCGGGGCGTTAATACCAAACGTCTGTCCCTCACCAGTTGCAAGAAACAAGAAGGCCCCGATGAAGCACCTAATGAGGAAAGCAACGAGTCGCCTGATGACCCTGACGCTGAATATGGTACCCGACCATGTCGGCTTTCTGTCGTCGAGCTGGACCAAGTGGGGACCGTGTCGAATGAGCAAACCTGTGTTGAATTTGAAGATAAAGACAGGGGAAGCACTTGCACTGACTCGATGCCTCCTTATATGCCACCTCAGACCTAGATCAGAGTGAAAGAGTGTCAAAACGACACCAAACAATATTTTGGAAATATGGAGAGAAATTGAAATTAAACATTTCAGAAAAAATATTGAGATTATGACAACGACACACAAATGGCATTTTGGAAATGAGAAAAAAGTACCTGTTCGTAAATTCTAACGTGAGGGGAAGTTTACAGGAAAGCTCCACAGAAGTGTTCAATATACTGGTTTTGTTTCTATCTACTACACATTTTACACACTCAGAAACAAGCATACACACACACACACACACACATACACACACACAAGTAAATATGTGTACATAGACACACACACACACACACACACATTCGTAAGTATGCACCGAAGGGAAAGAGCAGTGCAACATTTATATGCACCAGACAAAATGAAAACTAGGAAAGAGAACTGAGATGGCACGATGTGTTCACTATTTGTTCTTTGTTTTAATTCAACAGAAATATTAAACGTTTTAAATGATTTAAGTTTGATGTACGTACTTTGACAGGAACAAAAGGTTTATTTTAAGATCAGTAAAATACAGGTAGAACTAAAATCTACCCGTCGTCTTAAATAGAATGATGATACACCCTTTTTTTAGCCTTCAAAATATTGTCTATCAGAGCGATTTAACTAGTGAATTTCTAGTAAACAGCAAATTGGAGAATTAACAATCAAGCCTCAAAGGTGATGTGATATGGACCTTGCAAAACAAATTTGCTTCATTTTTTTTTCTTTTGAGGCGACAACCTAAAGTTGATTCTTTGCTGTCATTTTATTTGGTAATTTACCAGCACTCTGCCATGATGGTACCTTGGCAACAGGTCGCAGAAAAGCCTCCTTACCTTTGTTGTGTTACATCAAAGCAAATTAGTCGAATTGCAGCTACATAGCCACAAACGTTGTAGAAGCTTTATGTGAAGAGAAACTTTTCTTGTATCCATTTTATTCCAAAAAAGGATGAATAAAATTATTTCATTACCCTTGAAAGAAGGTACACAAATTTAGAAAGAAATTATTTGTGAAATGGGTAAGACGGTAGATGTAGGGTTTAGAATGCTCAATGAGTTGGCAATAATTGTGCCCATAGTACTTAGAGTTGTCAACGGATTGGAAAAAAATGCAAGTACTAAAATGCAGCGTACAAGTAAATCGACGAAAACTGATTGACTCATCAGAACAAAATCTACAACCATCTGCCAAATAAACAGCAATTCAGCTGATATTAAAAAAAAAACATTATCTTTTATGAATCCTTCTGAAAAGTCGACCTAATCAAACATTTATCTTTATATGTTTTAGGTTAACATGGGATGAATACATGGAACCTAATATAAAAATGAACTGCAAATGAAATCATTAAGTAGATACAAACCAGAGGGGTTTTGTGAAGGCTAAATAAATTTCAGTAGCAGTTAATTTCTCATGAGAGCACAGGGAGTTACTTCCTGGAAATGAGAACAGCTGACTACACTTACCAACATCTCCTGACCACTAGAAAAGCGACGACAATCATCATCAAGAAAACAACTTCAACTGGGAAATTTTAGTTTTTATTTGACAACTATTCTGACATAAATACCAGTATAATAGTAGGCCATAAGCATGCTAGAAAGTAAGCAACAAAGTAGAGATAAAGTAACCCCCCCCCAAAAAAAACAAGAAATACAAAAATACAAAAAAAATGAATGTTAGAAATTTCTCTTCTCCGTGCTTCTTATATTTTTTTACCCTTTTATTAAGACTGGAATAAATATTTGAATAAGATGAGAAGAGAATGTCTAGCAGCAATATTGTAAAAGTTTTTTCCTTGAATACTTTAACTGCTTGGAACAGGTGAATTTAGAATTAATTTCCTGGTACGTACATCTTTTGATTTTACTAATTCTAAAATAAAGGAATGTTATGACATTATCTGTATCTGACGGCAGGAAAGTGTTTTGAAAAAAAGGGCAGAATGCTGCCTAGTCCCATATAACGAATGTGAAGAAAAAAAATTCAGAAAGTAAAGGATTAAAGCAATCGAGCTGGAGTGAAGATTGTGTTAGTAAATAAAGAGTATGTGTGACGTGAATATGGCTCGGTTTATCTTTCTAGCAAATCCAACGTTCAGATAGAAAATACGAAGGTAGGGTATTGCCATTTTAATTATTTTAAAATCCCCAATAAAAACTGAATTTTTCCTAAGCTAAATAATAACTAGAAATTTGAAGTGGAAAAGCATCAAGAAGGAACATAGGCAAAGTATAGCATTCCAAGGTAAGAGGTGTTGCTATTATTAACTAAAATCCCTGTCTTGGTATAGAAAACGATTCGTCCCTTCGTAACAGCTGACATGAATTAAAGTAGGATGGAAAATATCTTTTGTTACTGAGAATGGCGGGAATCAATCTGTCAATCATCTAAACCGGACATGCTGATTGGTTGCAATTCACTGAGGACGCTGCTTGGTAATGGCGGGAATCTATATGTCAATCATCTAAACCGGGCACGCTGATTGGTTGCAATTTACTGAGGACACTGCTTGGTAATGGCGGGAAATTATCTGTCAATCATCTAAAAGCAGGCACGCTGATTGGTTGCAATTCACAGAAGACGCTGCTTGGTAATGGCGGGAATCTATATGTCAATCATCTAAACCGGGCACGCTGATTGGTTGCAATTCACAGAAGACACTGCTTGGTAATGGCGGGAAATTATCTGTCAATCATCTAAACCTGTCATCCTGATTGGCTGCCAAGAGACGTACACATGTTTCGAGCTTATCTTAAACTTAGAGATCAAGTCTGTTGTAATTTTCTCTTCGATAGGAATTATTTGCCTTATGGATACCTGAAAATATAAGGTGAAAAGTATCATTCATAGTTACTGTGACAGATCATTTTTATCTTGCCTTTTAAGCATCTTTATTAGACTTCTTTCATAACTTGACAAAAGATTGCCGCGCGCGGGAAAACACGTAACCTGATACCCTCACACCTGCATATCGCCGACGGTGGTGTTGCGGCTCGTGTAGGGGTTTGTGGAATTCGTATATGCCATTAGGCAAACGTTTGAAGAAAGAAAACTTAAAGAGCAACATGGCGGATTTAATACACTTTAAATCAAGAATAAATGGGATTTCGTTCAGTCAGTAACGTACATGCCTTGGCTAAATGGGGAACTCAGTTTAAATGGAACATCCCTAATAAACAGAGAGCAAAGTAACTTACATACACGCACTAAAATGGACACGGCTCTACTCGGAGTACTCCTATGTACTCTCCTGATGGGAATATACTGCTTTGTTGCTTCACCAACGCCTTTGTCTACTAAACAAGTAACCTGCGTCAAGGTAAGTTTTGTAACATATTCTGCGTATAGGTCTTCCTAAACAAATAAAAGATCAACTGATGAGCATAAGATCTATAATGTAACATGTATAACGTTATCTAAGCATAAACATAACGGTACTATATGGTGAATATGCTTTTAATTTTAAGTCCTTCTCGCTAACATTTTATATTTTGTGCCACATATGTTCTCAGTACTAGGCAAACTGTAACACTCAAATACGTTTTAACGCAAAAGACCTTATAGTCGAAGGCAACGAAAATTACGTGATAATATCATTTGTCAACTTTCTTTCTCTTTTTAACCAAATTCGTCAACTTGCATGTAAGACGACCTCAATGAATAGTAGGCTGGTCTGCAGCTTGTCATGAATTTTTAAAAATCTGGTTAATATATTTTACTGAGCATAAGTTTACAGACGTGTTTACACCTTATCTATGAAATATACACCAATTTCTGCATCACCCTTTACAAGCAATGCCCAAAAGTATTGTTTATATAATGCAGTGAACTGACCAATTCGTAGACCCTAGATACGGTTCCTAAATAGCACATGTACGTCTGGAACCATCGACCTTCAATTAGGTTCAAGGAAGGACGAAACTCCCCGAGGTCCTGTTGTTTTTCTTCTATCATATGTTGCAGACGTATTTAAACTTTTGTTTAATACAGCATGAATACGAGATTTAGTAATCATTCGTTTCAATCTTTTAACATTAAAAAGAATTGTATTTTTCTAACCATGCAATTATTGCAGTTACTTACGCAACCACCGCTGACTCATAACATTAATTTGATGACGCATTAATGCCCATACATACATAATGCAGTTATCATTCTCTTCATTTCACACATCAAACGGTATGTCAAAGATTGATTCCATTGATCTTTTTGTTTTTCTCCGACGCTGCAATTTCTTGTCAGAAAAAAATCCTAGCCTCAGTCTAGTTACACATGTTATTCAATAGGCTGCATGGGGACGTTTTCTCCCATGATTCTCCTCTGAATCTTACATTTGGTGGGCTGTGGCAGTCCGCCGTGTTGTGAGAATGTTACACTGTTAGAGTCACAAAATAGCACAAAGCGTCTAGAGACAACAAAAAAGAGGATGGCGGGGCGATACAAAAGTATTGCCTTTGCCTTCCTTCTCCTACCATTGCTTCTGTGCGCGAAATCTTCACCCTCCGAACAGATTCAACCTATTGAGTGTAAAGGTATGAAGTTTGCCATTTTCTCATGATTACATCTTGTTTACATAATACATAATATTACACTATAGTTCCACTACCAGATGTACTAAGATGTCTTCCCATTAAATGCAAATAAATGTCACATTTATACACGTGCTAGTGTACGGGATTTTACATAATCTTTTTTTCACACTATACTTATACATTTGAAATATCTAACATAACAAGAATGAACTGTAATATAATAGCCTAGGCCGGTCCCATATTCAGTTCTTTTTGATGGACATGTCTGTGTTCATCCATATAAGATTGGAAAATGAAGAACATAGCATTTAGCAGTCAGTCCATTGTTAGTGAATATGATACTCTCACTAAAAATGTCTAGCGAGCAGAGCAGTATTGATTGATTGATTTATTGAGATGCCCTTTAGCCCCATGAGGGGCTAATCTTCCAGGGCTCATTAACAGTACAACACATAAAATACAAGCACTGAATCATTATAACTTGGTACGATTTTGAATCTGCATCCTCTTGATGTAAATTAAGCACTCTGTCTACTAGTCCATTGCATAGGTCGAAGTTGTATATATTGGCACTAAAGGTTTTCTTTTTTTTCTCTCGCAGAACATGGTTGTATCTCCGAAAAAGTTCAGGCTCAGCCTGAAGAAGTTGGCAACTCTTTCATCAAGGACGGCATCCCAACTGAGTACCGCCCGCCACCGCCCAAGGACGGCACGACCTGGACCCACACCAACTATCCTGGCGAACGTCAGAAGTCAAGGGTACCGTGTATCATGACATGTCAAACATTGGTGTTGTTTTTGGGTGCTTTGATTGTGAAAGTTGGATATTGAAAAAAAGGTGTTGTTTTTTCAACCAACCAACTGGTTATTAGTCTAGATAAGACCACTCTACCCTCACTATCTTTCCCCAGTCCCATGTAGCCTTTTAAATTGTTCTGCATGGCCAGTTAACCACCTTTAGGCCCAATCAAGAACACACCAGTTTTTTAACAACTCACACCGTACAGGGAAGAGCCCCACCTCCATTCAAAAATTAGCTGTCTTCAGAACTGGCTAAAATATTCGGTCCTGCCTTGTTTTTTATGCTGGATATTTAAAATTATAGCATGTTCAAAAGCAAAGTATTTATATAAATTTCAATGTGATTTTTTATCTATATATCTTCTTTCTATAGTCCTTCTTTCTTATTCTTTGTTGATTTGATTATATGAATGACCCGGGATTTGCTCGGGCATGAATTTTTGTCCGTTAAAAAAAACAATCGACCACAAGGTCGAATCTCCTGGACCCTAGTTTTAGTCCTTGTACAATATACATTTATCATCTATTTTAAAAAAAAAAGGTTTTTTATTACAGGTAAAGAGAGCGATGTCGTTTCGACGTAATCGGCAAAACAACCAGCCTAGGCACTGGTTCCGTCGCTTTAGGGCGAACAAGGCAACATTCTCCCGACATAGCACGGCCCCCGGGTCATGGTTTGGGTCTCGACACGGCAAGGCACACGGAAGACAACCGACCTTCCAGTCTTCATCAAGTCACTTCGGCATCGGAAGGAACATGAAAACGCCAACCTCTCAATTCTGGTCTCTGGGCGGCAGGAACAGGAAGACGCCGACCTCCCACTCCTGGTCTGAGCACCGATCTTTTGGTAGAAGGCCGAGCAGCAAGGCGTCGACTACTCAGTCCCGTCGGCCTCTTTTACGCGGCGACAGGAGTAACAGCAAGACGTCGACCCCACAATCAAGACCTGGCTACCGATCTTTTGGTAGAAGGCCGAGCATCAAAGCGTCGACTTCCCAGTCCCAATGGTCTCTTGGCAGGACGAACAGCAAGACGTCGATTCCACAGTCAAGGCCTGGCCACCGATCTTTTGGTAGAAGGCCGAGCAGCAAGACGTCGACTCCACAATCAAGGCCCGACCACCTATCGTTTGGTAGAAGGCCGAGCATCAAAACACTGACTTCTCAGTCCCAGTGGTCTCTTTTACCCGGCGGCGGAACGAACAGCAATACGTCGACTCCACAATCAAGGCCCGGCCACCGATCTTTTGGTAGAAGGCCGAGCAGCAAAACGTCGACCTCCCAATCGTGGCCTAGGTCGATTGGAGCCAGTACGAACAGAAAGGCGTCGACACCCCAATCCGGGTCCCTTTTACTTGGCGGCACGAACAGCAAAACGTCGACTCTTCAGTCCCGTCGGCCCCTTTTATCTGGTGCCAGGACGAACAGCAAGACGTCGACTCCCCAATCCCAGTGGCCTCTTTTATGTGGTGGCGGCACGAACAGCAAGACGTCGCCTCCCCAATCCCAGTGGCCTCTTTTATGTGGTGGCGGCACGAACAGCAAGACGTCGCCTCCCCAATCCCGGAGGCCTCTTTTCCCTATCGGCGGCACAAATAGCAAGACGTCGACTCTTCAGTCCCGTCGGCCTCTTTTATCTGGTGCCAGGACGAACAGCAAGACGTCGCCTCCCCAATCCCGGCCTCTTTTACTTGGAGACAGGACGAACAGCAAGACGTCGCCTCCCCAATCCCGGCCTCTTTTACTTGGAGACAGGACGAACAGCAAGACGTCGACTCCTCAGTTCCGTCGGCCTCTTTTACCTGGCGACAGGACGAACAGCAAGGCACCAAGTTCCAGACTCTCGCCTTGGGCCCAGCGCCGTAACACTCACCGCCATACAAAAAACACCCGACCAACTGCTGTGAACTGTAGAAGTGACACCAAGAAGAGGGGTTGGTTCTTTTCCTCGTCATCCCGTCGGTCGTCCTTGTGGCCGTATCGAGGAAGTCGAAATGACCGTACCCAGGCAGAGTGCTCCGATGGCAGAGCAGAAACTGCCCAGCCACAGCCTAGGTCCCCTGCCGGTAGAGCCAAGAACAAGGACAGCGTCTCAAGAAGCCGGTCTACAACGACTGAACAGAATTGTAAGCCAGGGATTCAAGCCAGACTGGCATCCAAATGTAGCCTGCGATGTAGATTCAGCAGTCGCGATAAAGGTGGAAAGTCTCGACTTTCTTTCTGGGGATTTGGTTTTTTCTCCAAACACTCATGCAATTGCGTAAATGGAAAACACCAAAGCGAATGCTCCGCTAACATGGAAAAACCCACGCAAGCAGTGACTAGTACACAGAATCCCAAGGAAAAGATCAGCTCTGAGGAACATGACCAGAATAAGGAACAAAATGGGAATACAGGGATGGCCGATAGCAACACGCACATCAAGGACACTGGCAACGCCCCTAGTGACAGACGCACCAAGAACACAAGGAACACTGATGATCACAAACACACCCAAAACACTGGCAACGGCCATAGTAACAGCCGCACACAGAACACTGGTAAAGCCCAGGGTAACAGGAGCACCCAAACCACTGGCAACGTCCGTAGTAACAAACGCAAACAGAACACTGGTAACGTCCAGGGTAACAGACGCATACAGAACACTGCTAACGCCCAGGGTAACAGAGGCACACAGAACACTGCTAACGTCAAGGGTAACAGACGCACACAGAACATTTTTAACGTCCAGGGTAACAGTCGCACACAGAACCCTGGTAACGTCCAGGGTAACAGGCGCACACAGAACACTGCTAACGCCCAGGGTAACAGTCGCACACAGAACCCTGGTAACGCCCAGGGTAACAGAGGCACACAGAACACTGCTAACGGCAAGGGTAACAGTCGCACACAGAACACTGGTAACGTCCAGGGTAACAGAGGCACACAGAACATTGGTAACGTCCAGGATAGTGGTACCGTTCAGAGTAACAGACGCACACAGAACAATAAATTTGGTAACGTCCAGGGTAACAGACGCACACAGAACACTGACAACACCACTGTTATCTCCACCAGACGGGCTAAGGGTAAAGACAACCGTGATACTAACAGACGTCCCAAAAACAATAAGAATGTCAATGGCAACAAACGTACCAAGACTAACAGGCGTACCAAGACCGACGGCAACAGACGTACCAAAATTGACGGCAACAGACGTACCAAGACCGACGGCAACAGACGTACCAAGACCGACGGCAACAGACGTACCAAGACCGAGGGCAACAGACGTACCAAGACCGACGGCAACAGGCGTACCAAGACCGATGAAAACAGACGTACCAAGACTGGCGGCAACAGGCGTACCAAGACCGACGGCAACAGGCTTACCAAGACCGAAGGCAACAGACGTACCAAGACCGACGGCAACAGACGTACCAAGACCGAGGGCAACAGACGTACCAAGACCGAGGGCAACAGGCGTACCAAGATCGAGGGCAACAGACGTACCAAGACCGACGGCAACATACGTACCAAGATCGACAGCAACAGACGTACCAAGACCGAGGGCAACAGACGTACCAAGACCGATGAAAACAGAGGTACCAAGACTAACGGCAAAAGCAACAATGGCAAATCCTCTCCCATCAACCTGACACCTCCAACTGCCAAAACCAGCGAGAAAAACAGAGGGACTAAAATCACCGGAAATCAAAATGATAAGAACAAGAAAAGCAAAACCTTCTTTAAAAAATCAGACCAAACTGACAGAAGATAAACGCATTAATCAGGCCATTGGCGCAAAGCCTGCCAAGGACAACAAACCCACCAACAGTAAAGCTACTATTAGGATGAACGACAAAGGAATCCGCAATGGCAAAAAACACCATCCAAAGGCAAAGAGCAACACAAATAAAAACAACCACGTGCGTCTTCCTGATAAAACAACCAAAACGATCGAGAAGGCTCCAAGCAGTGGCAAAAGTACGACGACATCTTTAATCACCAAGAACATTGGAGACAAAGGATATACGACACCCAAAGGGATTGGACAAACTTCAACCGAAGCCCTTGTGCTCGCGGAGAAAACAACGAGTTTCAAGAAAGGATCGGCACGGCATGGCAACGGCTGCTCTTCCGCAAGGTTGAGGGCATTTGCTGCTAAGATCCAGAATCACTCCGCCAAAATTTACCACAGTCAACCTAAACACATGAATGCAAAATGCACAACAACATTCGGACTTTACAACCAAGTCGGTCGGCTGATCAAGAAAGCTCTTGTCAATGGAAACGCTGCAATCTCCCTGTCAAATCTCAACTCTTCTTCAACCTACACTGCTTGTTTTTACGTTGGCGCCCGGCCCGTAAAACGACCAAAATGCATCAAATTTACGACAAAAGGCCAAAAGAAAGGCGGGTTTATCAATATACCACTCATAGCGGTTTCAGCCACATGCGTCTTTTTGGGGATGCTTGGATTAGTCGCATTGGCAAATAGTGTGTGTTTCCCCAAAGTGAAGGCGAGTTCCAAAACAGGGAGTGATGAGGAAGAAGATGAAGATGGGCCTGACTACGAAAATGCTATGCATGGTTCTCTGCCGTGCCGGCTTTCTGTCGTCGAGCTGGACCAAGTGGGGACCGTGTCGAATGAGCAAACCTGTCTTGAATTTGAGGAGAAAGACAGGGGGAGCACTTGCACTGACTCGATGCCTTACATGCCACCTCAGACCTAGAGCAGAGAAGAACAGTTCCAAAATACACACCAAACAATATTTTGGAAATCTGGAAAGAAATTGACTACATATTTTAGAAGAATTCCCACAAACATTCGGCATATCGAGATTATAAGGACGCACAAATAGTATTTTGAAAAAAAAATATACATGTTCGTAAATTGTATCATGTAGGGAATTTGACAGGAAATCTTTACAGAAGTGAAATGAGTTGAATCCACGTCCAATTTACTGGATTCGTTTTCAACTACCACACATTTCATACACTTAGAAACAAACATATACACACACATACTTCCAAGTACATATGTACGCGCGCGCACACACACACACACACACACACACACACACACACACACACATGTATGCCTCCTTAGGTCTAAAATTCCGAAAATCTGATGCAGAATCATTTCATTCCCTTCAACTAAGCTACTAAAAAGTCAGAAGAAATTATTTGTGGAATGTGTAAGACAGTAGATGCATGGTTAAAATGCTGAATGTGTGGGCCATTATTGCTGTTTCGACCATAGTACTTAGACTTTTTAGTTTCAACAACTTATTCAGAATAATGCAGTTACTAAACTTCAGCGTACTGGTAAATGAAAGAAAACAAATTTGACCCATCAAAACAAAATCTTCAACTATCTGGCTAATAAATAGTAATTCCGGAGATGTTAAAATATCATGATCATATATTGTATGATCTTTCTGAAAATACGAGCTAATCAAACATTCATCTATATGTTTTTCAATTAATATGAACTAAATATATGGACCTTTATATGGAAAACTAACTGCAAATAAAAAAAACTATTTTAAAATTAGCAGTTACAAACCAGAGCGGCTTCGTAACTGCTAATTTAAAATGATTTTTATTAGAAGTCAGAAGAGAGCACAGGGAGTTGATTCCTTCAAATATGAACAGCTGGCTGCAATTTACCAACATCTACTGACCACTGGAAAAGTCATCATCAAGAAAACAACTTCACCTGGACATTTTTAGCTTTCTTTTGACAACTATTTTGACATAAAGGACAATGTAATGGTAGTTCATGATGAGCATGCTAGAAAGTCAGAAACAAAATAGGGATAGACTAAATAACAAAAAAAAGAAAACAAATTGTGGATAATGTTTGCAGAAAAGAAATGAATATATATATATATATATCCTGTAAGGAATATCTATCAAGACTGAAAGAAGTATATGTATGAGATGAGGATTTCTATTAGTGACAACATTTTAAAAGTAGGCTCCTTGAATTTTTTTTCTATTCGGAACATGTGAATTGCTTCATTTGCTGTTGCATCTATTGATTTTTAGTACATGTATTTTCATAGACATTATCTGTAAGTGACCATAGTAAAGTCTAGTAACGTTTTGTGGAAAAAGGGCGGAATGCAGGGAGTGTACAAGTATTCATTGAAGACTTTATAAAGTTTATGAAAGATCAAACCAATGAAACTGGACTAAAGATTGTGTTAAAAAATAAAAACTATGTGTGACGTGAATTTGGCTCGGTTAATCTTTCTAGCTGGTCCCAAGGTCAGGAAAAAGTATCATGGTAGTGTATGTTTAACATGCCGCGTTTTATTTATGATATTGCAATTTTTATTAAAATCTTTTAAAATCCCCACTCAAACAGAAATATTGCTATTAGTAAGTTAAATTGCTAGTAAAAACAACTAAAATCCTATGTGAAAATGCATAAAAAAGGGACATACTTTTTAGGCAAAATTGCAAGGAGCTTTTTATTTTATAAACGTAAACACTATTCTAGCTGACATTTACCTGCTGTAAAACATATAAAATAGGGAATCCAGTGAGAGCCAGTAGAACTGACTTAACCGTTAATCTGCAATATTGCTTGTAGATTTTAACCACCCCTCCCCCAATACACGTCCCATTTCAGGTATTAGCATATAAAACGGTGATTACACAGTGTATAGCTGCAGGCACCCACGAAAAATCTGTCACATTTCCGTTAACAGATTACAAAGTAGAACCCCCTAAACACCTTTCTGGCGACGGCCTCGATCTGAGTTTGTCTTACACACAATGGATTGACCCTTCCGGTGATGTCTTCGTGCTTATAGTACACGGATATGATTTTGGACAACGGCTAACACACATGCGGTGAACTTCAGTGACCTGAGTATGCGGTGAACCTCTGACCTCGGCATGCCAAAATGTTCAGCAAAAGATGAACGTGGGCATAACAAGGAAGAAGACGGTGATATATACAACCCCCCTGCAGTCGCCATGCATCTGCCCTGATGATTGCGGTTTGATTGATTGCATATATTATAATACATTATTTCTTTACCAAGCAACCCTCACCTCAATGAAAAGTGGCCTGAACAGAAAATGGTTCATATTTTACAACGACTGAGCAGAAGCCTGAAGAAATATTTATAAAAATCCATACAAAGTAGTCCCCAATTTCTCCACACCCTTTATACACCCAATGTCCAAATGTACTGTTTATAAAAGGTAGTGAACTGCTCAATTCGTGGACCCTAGCTAAGTAATAAAGGCTCTGAAATAGTATATATACGTCTGGAACCAACTCCCCGAGGTCCTGTTGTTTTCCTTCTATATGGTGTTGCAGACTCATTTAAACCTATGTTTATACAACATGTATACCAGGTGTAGTAATTATTCGTTTTAATCTTAACATCAAAAAGAATTGTATTTTTCCAACCACGCAATCATTGCAACCACTGTCGACTCATCAGAACACCAATTTGATGCCGCATTCATGCCGATACCTAATGCAGTTATCATTCTCTTTATTTCACACATCAGATGGTATGTCAAAGATTGATTCCATTGATCTTGTTGTTTTTCTCCGACGCTGCAATCGTTTTCTTGTTAGAAAACAAAATTCCTAGTCTCTGACCACTCACGTTGCAAATGTTATATAGGCCGTCCATTCTGAATCTTACATTTGGTGGGCTCTGGCTGCTATTGCACCAGAGCTGAACTAAATAGTACGTCTGGAGGCTGGAGATAACAAAAAAAGAGGATGGCGGGGCAATACAAAAGTATTGTCTTTGCCTTCCTTCTCCTACCGTTGCTTTTGAGCGCGAAATCTTCACCTGCAGAACGGATTCAGCCTACTGAGTGCAAAGGTATGAAGTTTGTCATGATTAGATCTCGGTTACATTTATAACATTACACTAACTGGTAGTACTTACTTCCATTACCAGATGTAGTAAGATGGTTTCCCATTATATTTAAATTAATGTCACCTTTCTACACCTGCTATTGTACGGGGCTTTACAGTCTTTTTTTTACCCAATACGTACAATTATAGCACATATTTGTAAAAAAAAAGCCTACCTCCTTATTCGTTTTCTTTAATCCATATCAGATACACGCATTGGCCAAAGAAGAACATGAAATTTACTAGTAAGCAGCCAGACCATTGGACGATACGAATGTACAGCAGAGATAGCATTTTGAGTTGGGATGGATTTGAATGCGGGCTCTTGATGCAAATTTTCATTTTTGAAATTTTACTCTTATGAATGGTAACTATACGTTTATATTTTTCTCTCTTGAAGGGCATGACTGTATTTCCGATGAAGTTCCGGCTCAGCTTGAAGAAGTTGGCAACTCTTTCATCAAGGACGACATCCCAACTGAGTACCGCCCGCCACCCCCCAAGGACGGCACGACCTGGACCCACACCAACTATCCTGGCGAACGTCAGAAGTCAAGGGTACCGTGTATCATGACATGTCAAACATTGCTGTTGTTTTGGGTGCTTTGATTGTGAAAGATATATATATTGAATTTTTTTTTTCAACCAACCAACCAACTGGTTGTTAGTCTAGATAAAACCACTCTACCCTCACTATCTTTCCCCAGTCCCATGTAGCCTTTTAAATTGTTTTGCATGACCAGTAAACCACCTTTAGGCCCAACACACCAGTTTTGAACCACTCACGCCGTACCGGGAAGGGCTCCTGCTCTCCTCGATAAATAAGATGGGACCTTTAACATGCTCCAGATGTGTCTCTCCTTAAATTGTTAATATGATAATTGGTAACCCTACAGTTGACGATATATTTGACAATTGCTTACTGGATACTGAAAAAAAAAACACAAATTAGGTTTTGAAAAACAAAAAAAAAGGTTGAAAAGACAATACTAAACTGAAGCCATATTTTTGGACTGAAAGCAGACAAATTAAAGCGTTAAATAGTCATGCATAACCATTACAAAGTAGGCATGCCGTACCATGTAGCTTTATATTCCTAAGGTTTTGAAACTTTGCCTTAGCCACGATACTGCCTGTGGAATTATACCATCGTTAGACTAACTAAAAACAATATACCTGTTCCGGAATTAGCTGTCTTTAGTATTGACCAAATTACATTATATTCGGTCCTTGTTTTCTTTATGCTGGATATTCAAAATTATAGCATATAAAAGTATGATCTCAATATGATTTTATCTTCAAATCGATATGCTGTTCTTCTTTCTTATTCCATGTCAATTTGATTATATGAATGACATTTGCCCAGGCATGAATTTTTGGCCGTTCAAAAAAAATCGACCATAATGTAACTTTCCAACCTCCTGGACCTCAGTTTTAGGAGTCCTTGTCACGGGGTTTGATACACCATACATGTATCTAATGTTTCTTGAAAAAAAATACGATTTTTTAATCACAGGTGAAGAGAGCGAGGTGGTCTCGAGGTAATCGGCGAAACAGGTACAAGCACGGGTTCCGTGGCTCTAGGACGAACAAGGCTACGTCCTCCCGATATGGCACGGCCTCTGGGTACGAGTCATCGTTTGGATCTCGACACGGCAATACATACCCCGAAATACCGACCTCCTACTCCTTGCAAAGGCAATTTGGCAGCGGCGGATGGAACAGGAACAGATGGAACAGGAAGACGTCGACTTCCCAATCTTGGTCCCTTCTACCCGGTGGCACGACGAAAAGCAAGACGTCGACTCCCCAATCCTGGTCGTCTCTTTTAACCGGCGGTAGGACGAAAAGCAAGACGTCGACTCCCCAATCCTGGTCGTCTCTTTTAACCGGCGGTAGGACGAAAAGCAAGACGTCGACTCCCCAATCCCGGTGGCCTATTTTACCTGTCGGTGGCACGAAAAGCAAGACGTCGACTTCCCAATCCCGGTCTCCTTTACTAGACAGAAGGACGACCAGAAAGACGCTGAAAGCATGGCTGAGCATGAGGCTTGGGTCTCTTGGTGGTAGTACAAAAAACAAGGCTTCAACTTCCCAACGCCGGTCCTGGTTGCCTTCTCGAAGAATTCGAAATGGCCCTACCCAGGCAGACTGCTCCAATGGGAGAGCAGGAACTGCCCAGCCACAGCCGAGATCCCCCGCCGGTAGAGCCAAGAACAAGGACAGTCGGTCTACAACGACTAAACTGGATTGTAAGCCAGGGATTGAAGCCATACTGGCATCCAAATGTGGCATGCTGTGTAGATTAAAAATTCGCGATAAAGACGGGAAGTTTCGATTTCCTTCCTGGGCATTTGTTTTTTCTCCAAAAACACATGTAATTGCGTCAATGGAAAACACCAAAGCGACTGCCCCGCTAACATTGAAAAGCCCACGCAAGTGACCAATACACAAAACACCAAGGAAAAGATCAACTCTAAGGAACATGACCAAAATAAGGAACAAAATGGGAATACAGGGAGAGCCGATAGCAACACGCACATCAAGTACACTGGCAACGCCCCAATTGACAGACGCACCAAGAACACAGGAAACGCTGATGATCACAAACACACCCAAAACACTGGTAACGCCCGGGGTAACAGACGCACACATAACACTGGTAACGCCCAGGGTAACAGTCGCACACAGAACACTGGTAACGCCAAGGGTAACAGACGCACACAGAACACTGGCAACGCCCAGGGTAACAGGCGCACACAGAACACTGGTAACGCCCGGGGTAACAGACGCACACAGAACACTGGTAACGCCCAGGGTAACAGACGCACACAGAACACTGGCAACGCCCAGGGTAACAGGCGCACACAGAACACTGGTAACGCCCAGGGTAACAGGCGCACACAGGACATTTGGAACACCCATCGCCACATCTCCACCATAAAGGCTAAGGCTAAAGGCAGAATTTGCGAGTCAAAGATTCAAGCCCTACTAGCATCAAAGTGTCGCGTTCCCTGTGAACAAAATAAACTGCTAACGTTATGCAAGTGTGCCAATGGAACATACCAAAGTGACTGCCCCGCCAATGTCGAAACGCCTGAGCAAAGAGGGCCCAATCCCGCGGAAAAGAAGAGTAGCAATGCCCAAGACAACAGTGATACCAACAGACGTCCTAAAAACAATGAGAATGTCAAAAGCAACAGACGTACCAAGACCAACAGCAAAAGCAACGATGGCAAAGCCTCTCCCGCCAACCTGCAACCCCCAACTGCCAAAACCAGCGAGAAAAACCGAGGGACTAACATCACCGGAAATCTAAATGATAAGACTAAAAAGGGGAAAAACTCTCAAGAATCAAAGACCAAACTGACAAAGGAAAAACGCATCAATCAGAGCAAGGACATTAGCGCAAAGACTGCCAAGGACAACAAACCCACCAACAGTAAAGCTACTATCAGGATGAACGACAAAGGAATCCGCAATGGTAAAGAGCACCATCCAAAGGCAAAGAGCAACACAAATAAAAACCACGTGCGTGCAACACCTAAAACGATCGAGAAAGCTCAAAGCATTGACAAACGTACCACCACATCTTCAGTAACCAGGAAGAATGGAGACAAAGGATACACAACACCCAAAGCTTTAACCGATGCCCCTATGCTCGCAAAGAAAGCAAAGACCATCTCGAATGCATCAGCACGACATGACAACGGCTGCTCTTCCGCAAGGTTGAGGGCATTTGTTGCAAAAATTCAGAATCACTCCGCCAAAATTTACCACAGTCAACCTAAACACATGAAGGCAAAATGCACAACAACATTCGGACTTTACAACCAAGACGGTCGGCTGATCAAGAAGACTGTTGTCAACGGAAACGCCGCAATCTCTTTGTCAAATCTCAACTCTTCTTCAGTCTATACAGGCTGTTTTTACGTTGGCGTCCGGCCCGTAAAACGACCCAAATGCATCAAATTTACGACAAAAGGCCAAAAGAAAGACGAGTTTATCAACATACCACTCATAGCAGTTTCAGCCACATGCGTCTTTCTGGGGATGCTTGGAGTGGCTGCACTGATGAAGAGTGTGTGTTTCCCTAAAGTGAAGGCGAGTTCCGAAGCAGAGAATAATGAGGTAGAAGATACAGGGAGTAACGAGGAAGAAGATGAGAAGGAGGGACACGAAGAAGAGTATGGAAGGATCCGGGGCTTCATTACCAAACTGTACATCACAAGGGCACGCCTGTCTCTTATCGGTTGGAAGAAACAAGAAGAGCCCGATAAGGGGCCTGATAAAGGACGCAACCAGTCGCCAGATGAGTCTGGCCTTGAAAATACCAAGAATGTTACTCTGCCGTGTCGCCTTTCTGTCGTCGAGCTGGATCAAGTGGAGACCGTGTCGAATGAGCAAACCTGTGTTGAATTTGAAGATAAAGACAGGGGAAGCACTAGCACTGACTCGATGCCTCCTCAGACCTAGAGCAGAGTACACTACTGAAAGAGTTTCAAAATCACATATCAACACCAATTTTTTTTTCATTTTGAAAGAAACCTTCTGCAAAAATTCGGCATATTGAGATTAAAACAACGACACACAAATAGCATTTGTAAATTGAGAAAAAATATACCTGTTCCTAAATTGTAACGTCAGGGGAAGTTTACAGGAGAGCTTCACAGAAGTGCAACGAGCCCAATCCACGTCCAATTTATTTGCTTCTTTTTTGACTATACTTTACTATACTTTATTCATAAAAATCAACATAGCAGTAGTACATGGTACAACTGAATTGTGTTGACCTAACAAAAAGTAAACACGAGTCAGCTTAGCAAAAGTACATTAGAGACACCACAACACTTACATTATACACAGAGGCACTAGGCCTTCATTTGGCTGTTGTATAGACGGATTGAGTAATGTAAGAATGAATTATACAGTCTGTTTGTTCTAGCCCTGGGTACCCTGATCCCCCCCGAGTTCCTGAGAGACATTCCCGTTCCTGCTGGCCTCACGTCCGGTACCAAGACTACTACACATTACAAAACATTCTTCTTCTCTTAAAACACACACACACACACACACACACACACACACACACACACACACACACACACACACACACACACACAACAACAACAACATACATACACACACACACAAGCATGCACAGTAGGGGTACAGAAAAAGAGCGGTGAAAAATTTAATATGCAACACACAAGAAAAACTAAGAAAGAGTCCCAAGATGACACTATGTATTGAATGTATTCACTATGTTTTCTTTTTTTTAACCTAACAGAAAGCATAAAAGTTTGGAATGCCTTTAGCTTCATGTATATGCTTTGACAAGAAAAAATGTTTTAAAGTTTAGTACCCACACGTAGACAAAATTAACCTTTGTCTTCAATAGAACGAGAATACACAACTTCTAGCCTTCAAAAAATTGTCTTCAGTAGGAGGACGCCTTAACTAGCATTTTCCAGTTAACAACAAATCGGAGGATCAAAGACCCACAAAAGCCACAAAGTTTGTTTTTTTTAATTAGCGTACCAAAACATTTGGTGCATCTTTAACTTTTGGGACCAGGCAACAGAAACAACCAAACCTTTTTTCCTTCGTTGTCATTTGTCATTATGTTTGACAATTTGAATGCAGTCTGCCATTGTAGTTTTTTTTAATGATAAATATAGAAAGATTTGTGGTGTTATAACAAAAGAAATAAGTCGCAGCGAATTGCAGCTGCACCACAAAACGTAATGAAAGCTTTAAGTGAAGGAATCCTGTATACATGTATCCATTCTATTCAGAAATGAAGATGCAGAATCATTTTATTAACTTGATTTGCTAGTAGAAATTTAAAAAAGCATTTGCGGAATGTGTAGGAGAGTATATACATAGTGTATGGTGTAGGGCTTAGAACGCCATGAATGCTGAATGTCAGGGCCATATTGTTGTTTTGCCCTTAGTATGTAGTCTTTTCAGTGTCCATTATTTGAAAAAAGAATGATGCAATTATTAAAATTCAGTATACACGGGTAACGTCACATGAAAAAAAAAGATTTTGACCCATCGGAACAAAAGCTGGGTAATATATTCTGATTCCAAAATCAGATATTAAAAAAAAACAGAGCCGTTTTGTAACCGTTAAATGAGTTACGTAGAGCGAGCTGCTAATAATGAAAAAATATTTAGCAGCTACAAATGTTATCGGTCTTGTGACTGCTAAACGATTTTCTTCAGCTGTTCATTTTTTCATGAGAGCACACAGGGAGTTGAATCCTGGCAATGTGAAGAGCTGGCTACAATTTACCAACATCTCCTGACCACTAGAAAAGCGACGAGGATCGTCATCAAGAAAAAAATTTCAACTGGGCATTTTTAGCTTTCTTTTGACAACTGTTTTGACATAATGGACAGTATAATGGAAGCTCATGTGCGTATTAGAAAGTAAGGAACAAAGCCAGGGATAAGCTGAACACCAAAAAAAAAAGCTTTTGTCGATTATGAATTGCAGAAAATAATTGTATCTTGTATGGAATATTATAGAAATTCCTTTTGTTCGTGCTTCTAAGATTTTCTCAGCCCTTAATCAAGACTGGAACATGTATCTGTATGAGATGAGAAGAGGGTGTGTGGCAGCACTATTGTAAACCTTTGTTCATTGATTTTTTTACTGTTTGGTACATGTGAATTTAGAATCGATTCATCTGCTTGTACCTATATCTACTTTTTTTTTGCTAATTCCATACTAATGGAATTAACATTAGCTTTAACTGGAAAGTCGTGGAACCTTCTGAAAAAGGTCAGAATGAAGCGTAGCCAAGGAGAGTTTAATATTCAATGGAGAAAGCAAAAGATCAAAGCAATGAAGCTGGACTAAAGACTGTGTTAGAAAATAAAAACTATGTGTGATGTGAATATGGCTCAGTTAATCTTTGTAGCAAATCCAAAGTTCAGATTAAAAAAATACCAAGGTATGGTACTTAGTTATGCAATCGCAATTATCAATTCTTTTAAAATCCCCACTCAAAAATGACTATTCCTAAGCTACATTGCCAGTAAAAACAACTAAAATTCCAAGTGGAAATGTATCAAGAAAGATCATGCGTTCTAAGGTAAGAGGTGTGCTAATATTAACTAAAATCCATGTCTTGTCATAGAAAATGGTTTGTCCCTTCGTAATAGCATCTACCAGGCACCGCGGATCGCTGGACAAATAGTAGAAATTGGCCGAAATTAAGGGATAGTATACCAGAGAAGATCCCAGGCCAAAGAAGATCCTAATCGCGACCCGCGCACGGCTACCTTCGACCTTCCTAACAGCTGACATGGGGTGGAAAATATGTTACGTTGTTCTTACTAGGGATGGCGGGAATCTATCTGTCAATCATCTAAACCAGAGATGCTGATTGGTTGCAATTCACTGAGGACGCTGCTTGGCAATGGCGGGAATCTATCTGTCAATCATCTAAACCGGGTACGCTGATTGGTTGCAATTCACTGAAGACGCTGCTTGGCAATGGCGGGAATCTATCTGTCAATCATCTAAAATCAGGCACGCTGATTGGTTGCAATTCAATGAGGACGCTGCTTGGCAATCGCGGGAATCTATCTGTCAATCATCTAAACCTGTCGTGCCATTAGAGACGTAAACATCTTTCGAGCTATCTTAAACTTAGAGCTCAAGTCTGTTGTCATTTTCTCTTAGACTGAAATCATTTGCCTCATGCATAAGCTGACACTACAACGCAAAGATATATTATTCATAGTTTCTGTGACAGATCATTTTTATCTTGCCTTTTAAGTATTTTTATTAGACAAGAACATTTCAGTCATAACCTAGTTTGCCGCGCGCGGGAAAACCCGTAACCTGATATTCTCACACCTGCATATAGCCGACGGTGGTGTTGCGGCTCGTGTAGGGGTTTGTGGAATTCGTATATTAGGTAAGAGTGTTGGAAAGTGTTTTATCCTATGCGGCAAAGACTGTTATTTTCGTATAGGGCGGTTCAGCCAAGCCGAATTAATAAGTATTGTACCGAAATCATACATGGTAGTAGGGCAGTCAAATATCGTTTGCAAGCAAGAGAACCCCTGCAACACTCGCCATCATCGCTAGGGCTTGTATGGCTACACGCGTATAGGTAAGTGACGCCCACTCAACAACAGCTGCCTTGTGTCCCACAGAAAGTACATGACTACAAAAATCTGTAGACTTTTGAGGGTTTATGATTAACAACTTATCATCAGCAAAAAAGGGACATGGCTGTACTCTTACTCCTATGTACTCTCCTTTTGGGAATATACGGCTTTGTTGCCTTACCAAGGCCTTTGCCTAATGAACAAGTAACCTGCGTCAAGGTAAGTTTTGTAACATATTCTCCTAAAGAAATTCCAATTCCATATATAATATTATATAATATAATATAATAAATAATATATACATTTAGTCCACTTGAACATAATGTAACGTTATATGTATATATAGTGGATAAGCATTTTCCTCCACGCCTGCATATTACATATTTTTTTGTTACTCGTGTTTTTAAGTACTCGGTAAACAGTAACACTCAAATGCTTAAAAAGCTCCTAGCAGTGTTGTAAGAAAGTACGCATGGTTTTACACTGACAGAGGGACGCCTGTACCTGTGACATGAGCGATGGGTCCGGAAGGGTCAGCCTCCACAGTCTGGCCAGTCCAGAGGAACCCGTCGAACTGGACAGCAACTCTTACAGATTCCTCTACAGCCCATGCATTGGTCAGTTACTAACTAAAGTCACTTGGAACCTGTTTTGTTTTTCCAAAGTTCTATCGGTGCCGACATACGCTTGTTTTGACCAATGAGTCGGCCATATTGTTTCGTCATTTTTGTAATTGTGAGCGATGCTGTTTAGAGCAATTGTATATTACTGTTCTGTTGCAGACATTCTGGTTTATGTCATATAAGTTTTTTTTTTTCGTATAATGAAATCGTAGCTATGAAAAACGCCAAGCAGGAATGTCGTGAGGACACGTCCGTGTGTTTAGAAGGAAGAGAGGAAGACTTCGGCTACAACTTTGGCAGGTTAGATTTTTCATGTTTGTCAGACAAGAAAGCTCTTTGAAACATTGGTACTTTTGATAAACATATCTGTGACTTTAGATGTTTTTATACATTTGCAAGAGAAGAAATGTCAAAGATATGTCACCTTTCATCATGGAGATATTTGTCTTTCATTTGCAGCGCGTCAGATTCCGAGTTTATGACGGATAAAACTGGAAACGTCACTGTGAAATACACATCACATGTTGGAAATAAAACAAGGTAAGTTTGTTAACAAATTTGAGCGACCTTTATCGTCTCTTCAATTTGTGACATTAGCCTATTTGGAAACCTCTTAATCATTGGTACGATTTGTAATTAATCAAATAATTTTTTGTCATTTAATTTACGTCACGATTCTACGAAGGACGGCCAAGGTCCGACTTGTGTGTGATCCATCCGTGACAGAGCGCCCCCTGGTGATGTTCAAAGGCATGACAGAAACTGCCATGGTGAGAATATACAATATAAATGCTTATATCTAATTCTATATTTAGCTACGTGACTTATACATATATATATATACCTTGTACTTGTGGCTTTTTGTTTGGCTGTTCATTATTAGTTATTTTCTTATTTTTCACAACAGAATTGGACTTTCACCACAGAATGTGCCTGTCCCAGTTCAGCCAATCGACCCGATCTTTCAGAATCTGGACGCAGGGCAATGCAGTGAGTCTATAACGCCCCCCGTCTTTGGTACATACGTCCTTAATGTTAAGATGTCAAAGCAAATTAACAACTACATAATATTTTTAGATAGATACAAGATACAAGGTCTTAAAATTCAATTTGAATTTCTCTTGTTTTGCAGAAAATGACGCCAAATATGGTGTGAAATCAAGCGAATGATTTCATGATCATCCTTGATCAAACCGCACCTGCTCCACGACTCCCGGTGTCAAGCAAAATACATGCACATGATCCTGCCAAATACATGACTCCGACACTACTTGGGGGTTTCCATGGTTTTAATTTTTTGTAGTAATGCAATGTATCCATTATAATTTACCATTACCTTTTTGTTGTTCTAGAAAACTTAATA